GCTGAAAGTCCAATGAAAAGAGCAAAACGGCGTCGCCAGGCCCCGGGGCGGAGGCGTCCAGGGGCTGCGCCTGCCTGGCGGGAAGGGTGTGGAGGGTGGGCTCAGGGCCCCGATCTCAGGCGAGCCCGGCCGACGGTGAGACCCGCGCTGATGCGAGCTCGTCGGAGGACGACGCCAGCATCCCGTCCCCGTCGGCCGGCCTCAAGCCCGGCGCGGAAGCCTAGGAACCTGCCCGCTAGTTCCTCTTAGTACAGGCGGCGAACTACATTTCCCGGCATGCCAGCGCGGCCGGCCGGGGGCGGGTCTACGACGGAAGAGGCCGCCTGAGGACGTGAGTCATTTCCGTTGCGCGAGTGGGTCCACGTTCTGTAGTCGTGAGCGGAGGCCAGGAACAGCGCGCGGTTTCCGGCTTCGCGCGACGGAAGTGACGCGACGCTGCGCGCGGCGGCGCCGAGTGCGGAGCCGGGGTCGCGATGAGCTGCGTGCTGCAGGCGCCGGCTGCTGGGTGAGGTCCGCGCGGTCTCGGCGGGACCTAGGGTGAGAACGGCGGGCGGGCGCGCTCACTGTTCTCTCTCTTCCAGGGCCCTCCGGGTACTGAGGCTCGTGCGCTGGCCTTTCCGAAGTCTGCATCCTCCGCCCGGTGGCCGGGCTCGTGCCCAGCCCGCGGCCGAGGGTGAGGAAGAGGTTGACCCTGACCGCCCCCTTCAGTTTTCCTCCAGCAAAGCCATCCCGTTCCGCTGGACAGTGAAGCACTCCCTAGGAAGGGAGCAGCAGCGGCCCTGGTGGAGGGTGCTGCCCTTCAGCTTGTGCCTCATGGTTCTGGTCATCTGGTGCTTTTTTAGACAGGAGACCAGCGCGGACCGGTGGTTGGGACGGATGTTGGAAGAAGAGGTACCGGAGCCCAGCGATCGTTCTGAAGAGCCTGGAACTCCGGTGGCCCATGGGGCGAGAACTTAACGGGGTGCCAGCAGCGAGGGAACAGACCTCAGTCTTTAGGCTTTGACGTCGCGTTTGACCGTTTCTGTCCTGGTTATGCGCGTCCCCAGACTGAAGGACTTGGATGGCGCGCCTGGCAAAGCTGACTCGTTGAAGGCACAGCAGAATGTCAGCAAATCGGAACCGGCTCTTTGCCTGATACTTGTTGCCATCGAATACGTCCAAAAGACTTTTCAGGTCTATAGAAAGGGTTTTGGCTGCAGCGTGTGCTGTTGGATTTGGGATGTCTTTGTACAACATTATCACGTTTCCAAAGGGATGCTGGTGACACTTGTAATCCAGTGTGATCCACTTTGCAGGTCATTTGCTTTCTGAGACAGAATAACTGGCACAAGAGTTAAACGTTTTGTTTTACAGTGTACCGTGATGTGTATAAATTGATGTTAGTTTAACAGACTAACAATAAATATTAATTTGGTAATGTGGAATTAAGCCAATGTTTGGTTTTTTGGTTTTTTTTTTTTGCATTTCATTTAAAAAAGGGAGCCTTCTAGTCTTTTCAGTTCCTTTGTTTGTTTGTTTGTTTTTTCCAGAATAGGAACTGAGGAAAGAAACCTAAACGTTAATTGTGGAACACTTTCTCACCTCTCTTCCAGTTTTTAATTTTAGCAAGGCAACAACTTTCTGAGTGGAATAACATTGATAAATATTTTTATGGACAATTTAGAGGCAATATTTGGGGTATGTAAATGATATGTTTTCAAGTACTGCTTAGTAGGAAACTTTCTTAATTCTGGATTAAATACAAGATGCATAAAAGGGAAGATTTTATTTACTTAAGGTTCTAGTGGAACGTTTTATCATGGCATATCTTTGGTGCCAAAGTTAACTGGAAATTTCTCTCACTCGGATGGTTGAAGACCACTGACTGTATGGCAGTGTACTGGCTTCTCACAAGGCCTTGGCCAAGGTCTGGCCCGCCTTGGTAAATTATGCTTGTCAGGGAGGTGGTGCTAAGACAAGTATATATTTTTTTTAAAGATGAAGAGACCAAGATTCAGAAGGATTGACCTAATCATGGCTCAGGCTACATCATTAGTTCCACTGGGAGCAAAGAACTAAGATGTCCTTTCTCTGACCTGGTGTGGTTGTTACCTATTTGGTTGTGAACCATTTTATTTGAGCAACAGTCATTCAAACCTGAACCCTGACTTTACTCTCACTAGCTCCTGCAGGAAAAAAAGTCAGAACTAACGAGAAGAAATTTTGTTTTCATTAAAAATAATTTTCACATGACCAAAGCAATATGATTTATCTGGAAAAGTTGAACAGTGTAAAAAGCAAAAGGTAGAGAATCAGAAACAGTAATAATCCCACCACCTAGAGGTAACTGCTGTGAGCACTGTTGGGCAGAAGATGGAGAAGACTGTATTTTTAAAAATCCAAGGAAAAGAGTTTACCTAAGTCGATGGCCTCATATCTTCCAAGCTGCTGAGGCTTGGAAGATATGAGT